ATTAAACCGTATTGTCTTTGAGTTTTGAAAGTGTTAATATCTTCCGTTTTCTTTTTCAGCTTCTGGGCCTGGAAATTTCTTTTTCCAGTTTGGCTAAAAACAAAATCCCTAAACCTCAGACATACCTGATCTGCTTATTTTAACCTTGAATACGGACATACGTAGACTCCTTTCTTCATCATGTCTCACTGTACTTAGAGCAGTTTCATTTTTCTCGGTTGGAGACCTCTGTTTTGTGTGCTTTTGTGTGTGAAGAGGAAACCAGCTCGGGGAGGGGAAGGCTTGTGAATTTTGTTTTACTGTTAACTTTATTAAAAAAAAAAAAAAAAAAAAAATAAAGCTTTGAATCTTTTGGTCCCTCCACGCTGGCCCGTACTTTCAGACTGTTCCTGCTCCTCAGCAGAGAGGATTTCCCTGAAGTCCTCCCGGAATCTCAACTTGTAAGAGGGTGAAGTAATTCCTTATTTTGTTTTGGTTGGCTCCCAAGTGCAGCATGGCAGCATGTTTCGGGTTTGTAGTAACTTGTAAGTTATCTTAATCTTCTGAAAATATTGCCAAGATTCAATCAGGTTCATACAATCACAGTTTAATTGCCAGCTGTCTCTTTTTTTTTTTTTTTTTTCTTTCTTATTTTCCTTTTTTTTTGCCATGGTTCTGCCAGAACGGTACACTTGGGCATTAACTTAAATGATCATGTGTGGGCTTAACGATTTTGTATTGGATTTAAAAGAGCAGCTTATAATTCCCTGTGATGCAGCTAGAATTAAGGGCTTTGTGTTTCCACTCCAAGAATTGTCCTGTTTGAGGGAATATTGAATTTGCTCTGGGCTGAATTTCTTCATGGTACTTTTTTTTTTTTTTTTTTTTAATTAATCCACTTGAACATTTAATGTTTGTGCTGAAACTTGATTTTTGTTGAGCCTGATGTTTGATTTCATGTGAACTGATCCATAACGCGGACGAGCTCTTGCTAGCTCTGAATAAATGCAAAGTAATATTCAGGTTAATAATGGAAAACGGTGACTGTGTGCGTGCAGCAGTGTGCTCTCATCATGTTTACAGGAACTGTACAAATACGTTAAACCTGTCGAGTAGTTTTCAACTAGCAGTAGTTTACTAGTCCAAAGAAGCAAGCAAATGCACAGTCGAACTCGGAACTGACAGTCTCTCCCTTGCTTCTCTTGCACGAGGCCAGGACGAGTGCTGGAGGGATGAGCTTAAAGCCTGGAGCCGCGTGCAGCTGCGCCGTCTCGAATTGAAAAATGGATTTGGCTTGGTGGTGCTGCCAGTTACCGTGAACGCTGGTTTAGTTGTCACCGTAAATGTAGTGTTACAGCAAGCTCTCAGCTGCGAGAGGACTCTGCCTCCAGAATCCTTCCCTTTTTTTTTTTTTTTTTTTTTTTTCCCTAGAGAGTGAAGAATCGTTTTGTCCAGGTGCTTTGTTCACGTTAAATGCTCTCTGTGAAACGGTTCTGGAGCGCAGCGCGTGGCATTGCCTGGCAGAGCTTCGGGCAGTCGTGCTCGGCCGTGGGGTTTGAGGGAAGGATGTGCTGGCACCGGGCAGCGCCAGCGAGAAGGGCAGAGTCTCGGCAGCGTTGCCGTATCTGGAGTGTTCTGAACTTGACCCGCGGTAGCGTAGCGACCTTTGGAGGGGCCGAATGTTGCTTGGCTGAGAAAACGGGTGTTCACCCAAATCCATGCAAGACTCTTTCCTAGAGAAACCTGACGCTAACTTTTCTAGACTATCCGATTTATCTTCTTACTGCAGAACAAAAACCGCAATGAATTCCTTGCACGGAATGATTACTTTGAATGCTGACATCTTTGTCTTCCTTCCTTTTGAGGGCTGTACTCGTCCTGCTCAGTGGGACAGAGTCGCTAGGCTGCAATGCAAGTTAACTTCATTTCCAACACTTGCAATAGTGTCGTGGTGCTGCTGCCGCCGCCGGGTCCTACAGTCCCGTGGTTGTGTTTTGTCAGAAGTTTTGACAATCTGCTTCCATAGAGGGAAGATTTCAGGGCTTACATCCCAGTACTGCAGAATAAAGGAAGAATTTTATAACTCGTTCGAAAGTCAGCTTTTAAAATGAGCCAATGTTGAGTAATATCTCCAGAGATAGACTCCAGCGTTTATTCTGACTTCCTTTGCCCCGGTGTAACGCGATGGACTCACCCGGGTTGCACTGAATGCAAAAGAAGGTCCTAGAATCTTTCAGACTCTGCAAGGGCGAATACCTGGGGAATTGAAATACTGGTCTATGCATATCGATACTTCTCCAGTTCTCATGGCACTGGTAAATCAGAGTTTACAGGGCTTGGCTTAGTGTGGCTTTCTGGATTCATAACGTCGTGTCCTGTGTGTGTTGATATTACTGTACAGTTTGGACTTTTCTCAGTCTTGTATCAGCGTGCAGAGACGCGTCCTGCATTTGTCTGTGGGTTTTATGATTATTTCCCCCTCCGCCCCGTTAAGTACAACAGGCTTCCTTCTCTCCAAGCTTTGAGTGAGACCATTCCTTGGACGGCAGAAGTGGAATGGCCTCTCTTCTGAGAGAATACACGTATACAGCAGATATTTATAAAACTGTACATGAATGCATGATTTGATGTAGTTAAATATTAATATGGTGAGTGCCAAGACTTTTCTAAGGAGCGTTTATTACGGGATTCAAAGCGAAGGTGAACACGCGTTCCCTTGTGCGCGGAGCGCTGGGGTTTGAGCGGCGTTTGGGGGCTCTCCCCTTACCTCAGGGCAGCAGCAGCGGCGCCTGGAGGTGGAGGTGCGGTGGCATCGTAACCTCCGCCGTGTCCTGGCATGGCTTGGAGACACGGGACTCTGTTCCCTTCAGAAAAACCTGCTTAGATGTGCGTTGCTTGAAACGTTGCCTTTCACACCTGGTAGTTGCCGAACATCCTTCGCGGGTTGGGTTTTGTACATAGCCACGGGGAACCTTAGCGCCATTTTTCTAGCTGCTACCGCTCTGCAGACCTCCCCGGCGTCCTTCGGCTCGGCAGGAGCTACTGGCTGTAGGAATTTGCCACCGAGATAAAGGAATAAATACCTGCAAGTGATTTGATGCCTGTGCTTTCTCTAGAACGATAAAGAGCCGATGAAGGCGATAGGAGGCGGTTGCTGTCGGTGGTACCCTTGAAGCACAAGCGCGGTGGGATACGCGTGCCGCCAGCCTTATTTAGAAGCGCGCTGTTCCCTTTGGGGTGACTGTAGGCCACCACGTGAGCTTGGCAGCTGGAAGAAGCCGGTGGTTAAGCCCTTCCTTTTAATGAGGCGAGTTCTCTTTCTGGGAGTCAGCCTCTGTAATTATCGAAAGGTTTATTTTTTGGCGTAACAGCAAGAGCCTTAATACTTAACCCTGCAGCGTACCTAAACGTGCCCCCAGCCCGTTCCACGGCAGAATCCCTTGTGCCCGGATCTGCCCGGCGAACAGCCCAAAATACAGACGCTGGAGGGGAACTGTTGGTACTGTGAGAGCTCCTGCCGATGGGAAGTACCCAGTGGTAGCAGAGACCGGGCTGGTGTGTAAGGGAGGGATCTTTTCATGGGCGTGACGGGAGTGGTTGCTGTTGAGCAGCTCGATAACTGACGGGGTAGCTGTCGGCTTCCTCCATGGAAGTTGTAAACTACAGGAAAAATTGTGTGTGTGTGTGTGTGCGTGGGGAGCGGCGTGGCTCTCGGCAGACCGAGCGTGTGAAGTGAAGCTCCGTTGTGGTGACTCTAGAGCGTTTACAAGGAGATAAGGACTTGTTTGACTCTTACGCTTCCCCTCTGATGGGGTTTTTTTTGCCTAACCATGATACTTGTGGTGTCTGAGCTGCTGTAGGGATAGGTTCAAATTAAAATGGAAGCAGTTTCATGCTTTAAAAATGAAAACATGCATCAGTAACATTAGCGCGTGGGAGATCCTTGCATGTACGATGGTCTGGCCTCCAGACCACAAAGCCTGGTGTGGTTGGTTTTTGTTCTTGTGTGGATTTACTTTACAAATCTGATGCTGTGTCAGCTCCACCTTTTGTGGGGGAGTCTTGGGAATCCTTTCCGGATACACTGAACCTGGACTTGAAATGGGCTGTAAAGACCGTTACGATGCTTCTGGCTGCCCACTTTGATGGGCTCTTCGTTGTTTGGGCTACACATGCTACGTAGGAAAGTACGTGGTGTCGTTTGTGAACTTGGAAGCGTTGCTGTAAAGCTGGATCCTTAGTGCTAAAGGCTTCTGACTGTTTTGTAAATACATTTGTGCAATTGGGAAGAAAAAAAAAAAAAAGAGAAACAAAAAGAAAAAGCGTAGGGACGACAGTATTGTTACCCAGGGAATATTGCGAGTCCCTCGGCTTTCAGTATCTGACAGGGATACCGAGTGAAAGCTGCTGTGCTGTTGTTTCGTTTCCGATACGGAAACTGGCTCAGCTCCTGCGCCCACCCGCGAGCGCTGGTCTCCGAGCTGGCTGCGTGCCGGGGGGGCCGCGCTCGGCCGAATCGCTCTTCAACCGATCGAATGACCAAAGCATTTGGACCACACAGTGGTTTGCTCTCCTTTCAAAATCACTTCCTCAGTTTCAAGAATAACTAAAGATATTCGCTTATCTTCAGGCGGATGGTTTTCATCCCGTTTAAATTTGTGCCTTGTACCTTCCCCTCCCCTTTCTTAGGGAGAAAGGACAGCTCGTGTGTTGCACCGACCCGAGTTTCTCCGTGCTCTCGGGCCGTTGCAGTAGTGCTGTAGCTACGGCTGCAAGGCGGCAGAGTGGATCGCAGCAGTTCTGCGACCCTCCGTTCTCCCGGGGGCCGCTCGCACGCGGCCGTGCTCTATTTATTCCGGAGATGTCCCCATTGCCCCCGCTTACCAGGGCAGCAGGACCTGTGCTTGGCTTGGAAAGACGATGCGTAATGCTTTGGCCTTCCGCAACGCGCCCTGGCTTTCCCCGCTCCTGCAGGGTCAGGGACAGGATTCTCCCTTCTGCTTTGAGTAGTGCTAGGCAAGTTTTCACTCTACCATAGATCGGACCTCGGAAGGAAAGCGCTGGTGTGAAGTAGTGCGGCTCGGCGGGGGTGATAGGGAGGGGCCGCAGCCTGTCGGGAGAGCCGGGGTGCTGCCTCCGGCCAGGCGTGCAGCTTGGCTGCAGCTCTGGCGTAGCCAATCTGACGTCGATGACCCCATCTTCCTCCATCTTCCTCCCTGCTTTCACCGCACGGCTCGTGCTTCAGGAGGGAAAGATCGCGTGAAGCGATGGCGGAGGGGGTCGAGTGCGAAACAGCAACCCGAGCACCTTCATTGCATGCGAATCTGCTTTGTTGTAACGACATTAAGGAGTAGTCAAGGCAAACCCAGGCGCCGATGTGAAGCCAACTTGGAGAGGACGCTTAGACCCTGCGCTGCAGTATTTATCTGAATCCGAAATTCTGAATGTTTACCTCAGTGTAAATACCTTAACCTTTCCGGTGGGAGGAAAGGCACGTTGCATGGAGCAATCCCTATCCCCGTCGCTTTGCCAAACACGTCATCCTCTCCAAGACGGGCTTCACGTCGGTACGAACACTGTCCCTCTTTGGACCCTTACCTTTCTAGGATGTGAACGGTAAAAATGTGAATATTTGTTGTTTACTTCATTAGGCATAATTCATAATGATGTGTTTATATGAAGAATATCACAGACTGAAGCAAAACCATATGCAATTGGTTTACTTTATTATAAACTGTATATGATGTACAAACTAATAAAAACTTAAATGACGACAGTCTGTCTCACTGTTGTTCTTGAACAGGCAAATAAACGAGAGATTCCAGCCGTGCTGGAGGTGAGCTGGAGCTTCGGGTTGTTCCCAGGGCGCTGGGGGGAGAGGGGGTCGGGGCACTCCTGCCCTCCCCCGGGAGCTGTCCTGGGCAGGCGCTGGTGAATGTGTTTAAAGTTTTGATGGAACCAACGCGGGTGAGATTTCTGTAAGAGAGGCCCGAGCTGAGTATCGGGCACTGCAGAAGATCAGGGGTTTCCCCTGCTGAAGGGAAGGGAGGGCTACAGGCACTAAGGGGGCGTAGAGATATAAATTTTTTTATGTTATAATGAGAATTTATTGTCACCCGTCTTTCTGAAACAGTGGGAAGTGGTTTGCTTCCCTGGTAAACGTGCAGCGTGTTTTACCAGCTGAGCCCCAGAGCACCCCGCGCTTTTGTTCGAAGCATTCGGAGGAGGAACGCTTCTTGCAGGGGCAGCGCCGGGCGTCCCAGGCAACGCTTTCGGTCCGCACCCAGCTCCGGGTAAGCGGCGCCCACACGACAGCTCCATTACAGCTCCCAGCCCAGCACACGCTTGTCAGACACAGTAAGTATTTACATTATTAATACGGGGTTAACTTCACTACGCGGTTCACCAGAGCCATAGCAGGAGTTTAAACGTGTCCTGACCTCCATCCGTTAGTTGAGCTTTGTGTTACAGTACAGTAGTGACCTCGTATCCACTGACCAGCCCGCAGACGGTCTGGCCAAGAGCAAAAAAAACCTAAGTTTCCATAAAACAGACTTAATTAACAGAAATGCTTGGTCATTAACTTTTTTTTTCCCCAGCCAACGGTTTAGGTTTGAGCAGACTTTTAAGTTACGCAGTTACGATACCTCCACTTACTTCCTAAATTATGATGTTACTGCCACCCTAACTCTTAAACATTCAGGTGCATTAGCGAGAAGTAGTAAAATCTTGCATGAAGTACGGTTCCATACTTCAGACATGATTTTAGTTGCTACAAAGTAAGATGGAAAAGATGCTAGTTCATCTCTTCCACTCCCTGCCGAGGCAGGATTGTTCCCTATGGGACAAGGACGCTGGAGGGTGCGTGGTCCAGCCCACGCTGCCCTGTGAAGCGAAGTGGCCGGAGCCAGGCGGCAGGAACTGAACGCCTCTCCTGGTATTTCACTCTTTTCCCTCTCTGTGATCTTATTTAATTTTTTTTTTTTTTTAAGTCCATGATAGCTCTTGCAGGCATCATCTGGCAGCGTGCTTCCCTTCTGTCCGCCCGCCAGCACCTCTCTTCCCTGCAACGAAGGAAGCGTTCACATGCAAACAGTGAAGGTGGATGGGGGTAGAGCAGGGCTGGCCGGCCCCGGGGCTGCAGGACCGACCTCTGACCGCGGCTGTTGCGTACCCCGCTGCACGTTCTCCTCAGATGGGTAAACTACGAGTAATGGCCACGCTGGACAGAAACGATCGCCACTTGGGTCTGGCTGGTTTTTACCCAGTAATTCAGCTCCCAGAAGGACTGAGGTCAGTCCCTCGGGTGTGGGAGAAGGGGAGAGGCAGCACCCAGTTCCCTTTGCTCGGCTTCAGACCAGGTTTCGGCCTGCCACTGCTCATGGTACTGACATGTAAAGACCTAACGATTGTGGTTCATGGGGGAGTTACAACAGGCTATAGGAGATCTTCCTCTGAGGAAGAAAACAAGCAGAACACCACAGCTGGGTCTCCCCAAAACTCTTCCTTTAAGATACACTCGGCAGCGCTTCAGTTATTGCCAGCGGTTACACAACGGCTTTCCCTGGTCAGTTGAGAGTTGCTTGTTTTCTCCCTGGTTCCAAGGCCAATGAACTCCCCCGAGAGGCTTCACGCTGGGGTTGGCACAAGGGCTTACTTTAGTAAAGGTAGAATTATTTCTCTTTACACTCTTAAAGGTTACAGGAGTTACTTGCCTTTTAAAAACAACCGACCAGCCTACCCTGCCCACGCTCCTAGATGATGGTGCAGGAACTGAAAGCAGAGCCCCGTTTGTTGGTGCTCTGCGTTGGCACAAGTTTTCCTTTTCCATAGTACCCTGAGAATATCGCCTTCACATGGATCTTTTTAGAAAGGATGAGCATCCACATACCGTTATCAAAATACAGCAGCTTCCCTCCTCCAATTTCCCCCACTTCATCCCCTTTGTTCCCTGCCTTTTCCAGTTTCACAAACTCCAGCAGATCCAGCCCGGTCTGGACTGCTTCGATGCCGTTGGCGCAGCCGAGGGTGATGTGAGCCCGGCTGCCTTTCGGGAGGTTGTCGGTGGGCAGGATCTTATCGGCGTCCCCAGGCCACAGCAGCAGCTGCTGTTCGCTCAGGTCCACGCGCGCGCCAACAGTTTTTGTTGTGATGAACAGAGCAGAAACGGACAGGGTGAAGCCTTTGCCGTAGGAAGCCTTCACAGCCTGGGGGAAGAGGGAGACAAGTCCGGAACACAGCTGTAACCGCCTGCAGCCAGGCAGGGTTTACAGCAGCGTGGTTGGCTTTATTGCCCACGGGACGCCGAGGTCTCGGCTGATCACGGTAGCTCTCGCTTGGACATGCTTTAAACACCGGGTCCAAGGGGAAGATCACGGCCCGAAGCTCCTGCTCCATGAATTCAGAGCTGGTTACATCTTTTTCCCTTCCCAAATTCCCGTATTTAACTTGGGCTCAGCTCTTTTGGAATAATTGTAGCTGAAGTGCAAACACCTCTGTTTATCATCATTCAGATCAAGCTATCGGAGGTGATGCTGGGGGCGGGGGGGGATGGGGCAGGAGGGTTTTGTTTGGAAACGTAATGGGAAACAGTCACCACCGCTCCCACAGTTACGCCTTCCCTATTGCGCAGACCACGTGGACGCACTCGCTGTCCCTTCAGCTCCCCCCTCGGCTCCAAGCGAAGCCGCATCCCCTGCCCACCCCGAGCAGCTTGGGGATCCCCTGCTGGGAAGGGGGAGGGAGACGGGGCTCCTGGGGAGGCATCGGCACCCGGTACTCACCTCTTGCTGTGCATATTCCTCGGCTCCTGCTGCTTTTCCGAACTCGGTGTATTTTGTGGTGCAGTGTAAGACCCCGGGCGGCCTCTTAACAAAGTAGCTGGTGAGGTCTATTTTTATTTTGGGATCTTCAATAGCGGACGCAACTGCAAATACAGGCAAACAGTATTACTGTCAAAAAATGATCCCCCTGCTGTCACCCCATGAGGCTAAGGCCCATCTCCGCTTTCTTCACCAACCCGTCCTTCACGTTTCACCTTTCTCACTGCTGAAAAGGACTATTGGGCAAGTTAAAACTCCTCCTTCCACCTAGGCTAACAGTGGATGGAACCAGAGAACAGCAGCTTCCGCGCAGCATCGTGACTTGTCTGAGCCTCAATGTACGAAACCCTCAGGGGACCGGGACCGCTGGGTCCTTCCCTTTTCTCTCTGACTCATCGCAGCGAACAGGGGATGCCCAGCCACGCCGCTGCTGCCTGCACCCAGCTCCCTACGCCATCGCAGCTAAATAAGGCTCCTTAGGAAAAGCTGTTTCATTTATTTTTACTTAAAATGGCACCTTGGCCAGCTACGGGCGACAGGTTAGTACCTTTGAACAGCTTCTCTCGGTGCCAACTTTAACTAGAACTTCACTTTAGAAGCCAACCAAACTCATTCCATTTGCTGAGTGTTAACATTTCATCAACAGGGTAAGAACTGGGTAAGCTACGTCTATACATACAGTATTTACTCTCCTTTTTGAAGGCTTTGAGACTTCCAAGCTCATCTAAGAAGGCCTGGCCAGCCTTCCTCAGGATCTCTGAACTTCTTTTGCTCAAAAACCACCCAAAATACATGGGTAGGAATTCCTTCTCCAAGCTCGGCTTCATCTTCTTCAGCTCTTCCACTGACAGTTTCCATTGATTCTTCTCCTTCAGCTGCGAGCAATCCATTCGCCACTGGGTTTTGGGCTCAGCAAAGATGACTTTGTACCGGTATTTGTCAGCAATGTCAAAGAGTTGGTCCAGTCGTTCCCTCTCATGGTGGGTGTCATCCAAAACGATAACGCTGATATCTCGTTTGCAATAGTCAACTAGATCCTCGTCCACCTTTGAATACTCTTCGGGAATGGTGCTTCTTATTGACGGTGTAATTTTATAGCTATCGACAGAGATGACCTTGCAGGCATCTTTATACCGATCTTGAATAGCCTGGGCAAGAGTGGACTTCCCACTGCCGGGCAGGCCTCTTAAAATAAAAAAGGTTTTAGATTCCTTGACCGTGGAGATGGTATCTTCGTCATCAAGGAAAGGGAACTGCAAGCTTTCGGGTCTTTCTTTTGCTGATTGAGTAGACATTTTTCTAAATATTTTCGGCAGGAATGTGTGACTCTTCTTTGAGAAGCCTCTGTTCTGAAATGCAAGAAGAAAATATTTTGCAGGCTCACAACCCCAAGAGGCCACATGTTCCCACTGCACAAGCACAGGACCTTGAGAGCCTCGGCGGGGGGGAGGAGGGCGCAGGGAACACCTCCATCCCCACGTCCCCCACCCTCAGCTGCCCTGCTTGGCTTAAACCACCCCTCACGGCTACCCCGGCACCGTCTGTCCGACCTGAGGAGCTGAAGGTGCGGCTCCGGCTCTGGCCTCGCGGTCCTGCCTGACCAGGAAGGGGAAGTTTCACCCGTCACGTGGCAGCAGCCTCACAGGCCCCACGCGCTGCCACGGAGCTGCAGCCCGGGCAGAGCGCATCGAGCGTCAGGTTTATTTATTTCTGAACGCTTGCCATCAATGCTTGTGGCCCTTCGCTCGCGAGGCTGCAGCGGGCTGCGGGGAGCTCCGCCTGAAGTGGGAAGCAAGAAGTCCCAGCAGCGTGTGGCAGCTGCTTCCAACCTCATTGCTTCATCTGAATAATAAAAAAAAAAACCACCCAGGCTGCAAAGGGATTTAATTCTGTTCAGGGCTCCTCCATCCCCGCAGAAAAGGCTGTGTCCGAGTGCAGTCTGCGCGGACGCTGTTCCTCCCAGGAAGAGCTGCCCTTTCTTCACGCTACGCTGAAGATCAGCGCCCCAAACACCTCCGAGGGGGGAACCTGGGCTCCTCTTGTGATGAAGAGCAACTGAAATAGCGTCTGGTAAAGACACCCCCGCCCTCCCCGCAGCTGCTGAGCTGAACACGAAAGCGAAAGCAGCCCTGGGAGCGCCCGAGGAACCTCGTTTGGCAGCAGCAAGAGCCGGGGAAAAGCGCTGCTGGGGAGCTGGCGCTCCCTCCCTCCTGCCAGCAGCTCTGGTAACTGGAATCCCTGATTAATTCCCAGCAGGGCCTGGGAAAACACGGGACTGGAAGGAAACGAGGGATTTCTCCACCTGTGAGTTCTCAAATAGCATCAACGAGGCAGCAGCTGCTGGTTTTTGGGTCGATATGGGGACTCTCCACCTTCCCCACCCCATCGTCCTCGCCCGGCCCGTGCCCAGCCCCACTCTCCAGCCAAACACGATGCCAGCAGCCACGGGAGCGATGCTGAGGGAGTAAGTTTTGCCTTTGACACAAACCCTGAGGGGTTTTTTCGTACTACTACAGCTTTCCTGTTTGCGGGCTGAAGCCATTGTTTTTAAAAAAAAAAAAAAAAAAAATCTGTTCAGTTGATTAAGGTTTCTATCCCTTATTCCAGAATTTGGAGGAGGGTTTTGATTCCAAAGCACCGTGGGATCAGGACCAGTGGATGTGTTCGGCAGGGAGCTACTGCGGAACACGGCAGGGGTACGGTGAGCGCCGAGCAAGGCGGGGGTACGGTGAGCCTGATCCCGAAACCGGTGCAGAGTTCCTCCTGTGGCAACAAATGGCCCTCCGGGAAGAGCGAGGGCCCGTGTGGCTCTCCTGGGACCCCGACGTTGGCTTCCCCATGGATTTGGGGCTCCCAAGTCATGGTACAAGAGGAAGCAGACGGCGTCTCCCCCTCGCAGGGTCCCGTTTGCCTGAGCAGAGCCGGGCCCGTGGGCCGAGCGCGGGCTGGGGCAGCCCCAGTTATTTTGCTGAAGGCAGCTGCTGGGGCTCGCCGGGGCCCGGGGCGCTTTTCAAAG